AAAAAAAAACTATTTTATTCAAATACCCAAGTTTTGAGAGTCCCTAATATTAATAGAGTATTATGTTCAATCATAAACTTTCCTTGTTGGCCTAAAAAAGTGCAAAAACGATTATGCTATTTGGACTTTGGAGCATTTGTTATATGGCAGAGGACATAGAAAGAGACTCATGAACCAAAACATTACCTGCAAATGGACCCTACCCTCTTGTATGGAGCTGAGAATATGACCAAAACATTAGAGTGGTTGGGGAACAAAACCAACGTGACACACTGAGTCCATTCATCTGCTTATTATTCTTTCACATTACTGGATAAACCTACATTTCACCAATTAGTCCCTAAATAGGACGTCCGGCCTCCTTTCCTCTTCCTCAGGGTTCACCTTGAGACTAAGACCCATCTCCTCACTCACTACCACATAGCCCTCACCCAGCCATGCAACCAGCAAGCTAACCCAACAACAACACTATGGCTCCCAAAATAACGACCCAACAGATGTCTTCTATTAATGTTGGGTTATCTCCACATTTATTTTGAGTTTCTTTGTTCTCCATATTCCTTCAACATAATTTGAATATAAACAATTTTAATGAGTTATGCTTATTAATTTTTAAAGGTAAAATCTTATGTTATATTTTTAAATGAGTTCATAAGTATAATTTGAATATAATCAATTTTAATGAGTTTCGCTTATTATTTCTTAAAAGGTAAAATCTTATTTAATACTTTTAAATGAGTTTGTAAGTATATGTGAGACTGGTTTAGCAAAAAACTTGGATGCTTATATTATTAAAAAATTATCAATCCAATCTAAAAAATGAATGTAGTAAAAAACATTTAATTATCTAATAATAAATAGTTGTTAATATTTATTAAAACTCTAGCTATCTTGACTTTATAAGTCTTCATATATATATATATATATATATATGTATATATTTATTTATCTCAATATATCTCTCCGTTGAAAACTTTGAAGTTACAAAAGAGAAAGTAACTGACTTCAAAATTAAAGCACCTGAATTTAATTTTCTATTTGCGCCAGCGTTCTGCATGATAATTTAAGGGGATTAAACAGAAATTAAACGTAGGCATTTAAGCATCAATATATTCTACTTTAATACTTATTTGAATGTTGCACTGCTCTTTTCCACAGTATCTTAATTGGAGTAAAACTGTACATCGAGCTACTTTCCGAAGAAAGGCTGCCCGAATTTATAATGTATATACCAATTAATTTCTTAGCATTGAAAAAGCAGCTGTATTAACGTAAAAAAAAGGTAAGCTGCTGTATATTTCAGTGACCGAGGGCAACAAATTTTAAAAATGACAAAATTAAAATATTATAATTATAATAACATGTGATATTAAAAATTTATAATATAATATATCATTATATAACTAACTATTTTCATTGAAAATGGTTTGTTTATTATATTGTATGTATTTAATTATTTTATATTATGTCATATTGATTTAATATCACATTATAATTGTAAATTTACAATTTTACGTAATATTATAATTATTGTATTGTCAAATAAAAAATATGTGTATTTTTTTATATTTAATGTATATATATTTTTTATTTTAAATTGTATAATGAGAGGCAATTCACTTCAATTCTTTAATTTATTTTACATATATGTCATATAATTTAAATTTAATATCTTTTATTTCTATTTAAAAAGAGTTTTATTTTAAATAAATCTATTGAAAAGAGTTTATCATTAAACTATTTTTGTCATTTTTATATTTAATAAATTTAAAATCTCAAGTTTTACACATTCCTGATTTTGACCAAGTTTCACCTCTTTTAGTTTAATATGTTGACTCGACTAGAAATTGATCAAAATAATTCTTTCAAATCTAGTATTTAGAGATATATTACTAAAATATCT